GGATGGTCCTTGAAAAATATTTTTTAAAAAATCCAAGTTTATTGCTCGGATGGTCCTTGAAAAATATTCTTTAAAAAATCCGCGTCTATTGCTTGGATGGTCCTTGAAAAATATTCTTTAAAAAATCCAAGTTTATTGCTCGGATGGTCCTTAAAAAATATTCTTTAAAAAATCCACGTTTATTGTTCGGTTAGTCTTGAAAAATACTTGAAAAATATTCTTTAAAAAATCCACGTCTATTGCTTGGATGGTCCTTGAAAAATATTCTTTAAAAAATCCACGTCTATTGCTTGGATGGTCCTTGAAAAATATTCTTTAAAAAATCCACGTCTATTGCTTGGATGGTCCTTGAAAAATATTCTTTAAAAAATCCACGTCTATTGCTTGGATGGTCCTTGAAAAATATTCTTTAAAAAATCCAAGTTTATTGGTCGGTTAGTCTTGAAAAATACTTGAAAAATATTCTTTAAAAAATCCGCGTCTATTGCTTGGATGGTCCTTGAAAAATATTCTTTAAAAAATCCGCGTCTATTGCTTGGATGGTCCTTGAAAAATATTCTTTAAAATATCCACGTTTATTGCTCGGATGGTCCTTGAAAAATATTCTTTAAAAAATCCACGTTTATTGGTCGGTTAGTCTTGAAAAATACTTGAAAAATATTCTTTAAAAAATCCACGTCTATTGCTTGGATGGTCCTTGAAAAATATTCTTTAAAAAATCCACGTCTATTGCTTGGATGGTCCTTGAAAAATATTCTTTAAAAAATCCACGTTTATTGCTTGGATGGTCCTTAAAATATATTCTTTAAAAAATCCACGTCTATTGCTCGGATGGTCCTTGAAAAATATTATTTAAAAAATCCACGCTTATTGCTCGGATGGTCCAGAAAAATATTCTTTAAAAAATCCACGTCTATTGCTTGGATGGTCCTTGAAAAATATTCTTTAAAAAATCCACGTTTATTGCTTGGATGGTCCTTGAAAAATATTTTTTAAAAAATCCACATTTATTGTTCGGATGGTCCTTGAAAAATATTCTTTAAAAAATCCACGTCAATATTTGCCAAATACCATCCAAGCAATAGACGTGGATGGTTTTTGGCAAATATTCTTTAAAAATCTCGTTATAATGTAAACATCCTATAGGGTCCAATAATTTCCGCAGTTCCCAATGTACATTGCACCCAGGAAAACAACAACAAATAACATTCATATATTTATGTGCACTTTAAAGTGCGATTTCGTTTTTGATAACATTTTGTGGAGACATTTAACGTCATCGCCGGTTACTGTTGTTTTTGTGGTTTGAAACACACACACATTTCAAGTAGCGAAGGTGGTTGTGAACTCTACATGGTCGCTCTTAGCTGGAGCAGTAACAATCAATTTGGTTAAATCTTTTGCGGTTAAATGTTTAGATCCAAATTACCATTTTACACATGCGCACTGACACAATTCCGACGACGTAACCAAGTAACATACTTTGTTTTGTCTGTTTACACATACTAACACACACACACACACAAACATAACACTACAGCTGACATTTTGGGGCACTTCCAGTGTTGTTGTTTTCTAAGAAACAAAATATTCGTGGACTAAAAAAACAATAGGGACCGACATAGTTGTTGCTGGTGTTAAGAAACTCTTTTAAATGTTTATATGCTCATGAATTAAAAGCACCCACCCACCTCATAGCTTTACCCCCTTCCAACCAATTTAACGTTGGCTTTAATGCGATCACTTAAAATTAACTGTAAAGAAGAAATTTAAACTTTTTTTCATTTATCCGTCATGGCTTAAACATACCTGCACACACACACATTCGAAATATTTTAAAACATTTTATTAATTGCCAGCCATAAGAGTGCCTCAAAAACGTAAAATTACGTTGATACGCAACGTAATATTCGAACGGTATTCAAACTTCCTCCAAAAACAAAAGTAAATTCATATTTTCATGGAGTTGAGAAAAAAATAGTTATTAAATGTATTTTGTTAATGGGGCCTAGAAAATGTATTCTTCTTAATTATATTATCTTTGGCTGGATAAGCCTGAATGATAGAAAAAAGTCAGAATTATTGGCCGATTATGTTGACAATTTTTAGATGCAGAGCATATGTTGTTATGATTCTAATTCCACTTCCTAGAAAAGTTTGCCAACTCCCAATTAAATCCACAAAAAGTTTGCCATTTTCTACCATAGGCTGTAGTACCCATTACAAACCTCAAATACAAAATTGGATACAATTCCGGTGAATAGTGTTGATAAAATCATCAAAATACCGAATATAGGGAGGTACTTTTATATGGGGGCTATCCGGCGACGTGGACCGATGTATGAGCAATTTTCTGTTATCAAATGTAAAACCCATTAGGAACATTAAATACGAAATTTGAAAAAATTCCGGTGGATAATGTCGCTAAAATCATCAAAATACCGAATATAGAGGGGGTACCGTTATATGGGGGCTATACGAAGACGCGGACCAGCACAGGCAATTTTCTGTCATAGACTGTAGTACCCACTAAAAATCTTAAATACGAAATTTGGCACAAGTGGGTGTATAATGTCGCTAAAATAATCAAAATACCGAATATAGAGAGGTATTCTTATATGGGGGCTATCCGACGACGTGGACCTGCATAGACAATTCTCTGTCACAGATGATAGTACCCATTAGGAACATTTAAATACGAACTTTGAAACAATTGGATAATGTCGCTACAATCATCAAAATACCGAATATAGGGTGAAGTACCCTTGTATGGGGGCTATACGACCACGTGGACCTCTATAGGAAATTGGACCTGCATATGCAATTTTCTGTCATAGGCTGTAGTATCCATTATGAACTTCAAATGCCAAATTTGAAACATTTTCGGTTAAAAATGTCGCTTAAATCACCAAAATGCCGAATTTAGGGGGGTATCGTTATATGTGGGCTATACGAAAACGTGGACCTGTATAGGCAATTATTGGTCGTACTCATTTTGAACTTAAGCCACTCGTCCGACAGCTGTTAAAATTATTCCAATGACAGCTCATTATATCGCAATATTCTATTCAGCAAATATTGAAAAATGAGCTCGGGGTAAAGCTTGTGGAAATTCCAAAAAGTGCAAGGACTTACACCGCAACAGCAAGAAAATAGACCCAAAAGAGCTGAGTTATTTCGCTTGGCCGAAAGTGGTGAGTTGCCGAATTTGGTTTTCTCCGATGAGAAAACATTCGTTGTCCAGCAGTTTGTAAACAAACAAAAAGATCGTGATTACCTGTCAAAGAGGTCAGCTGAAAATTTGCTCCTTTGGTTGGCCACCACAACTCAAGCGCCGGCCATGGTGATGTTGTGGACCGCCATAACAGCTGATAGTCGCTCCCCGCTCGTATTAATCGACCGTGGCATCAGTATAAATGCCAAATATTATCGCGAAAATATTCTGGGGGGTGTACTAAAGCCTTGGGCACGCAAACATTTCGGCCGCAGACCTTAGACATTCCAACAGGACTCAGGCACCATTGCACTCAGCCCGCGCCACCCAAGTATGGTTACAAAATGAGGTTCCTCGCTTTATTTTCAGCTCACAATGGTCGCCAAAATCTCTGGATACCGATCCGTAGGACTATTGTGTCTGGTGTATTTTGGAAAGCAAGGTTGGCACTAAAAAATACCAACATGTCGATCACCTCAAGCAAGCACTTCGCCGTGAATGGTCCAAACTGCCGCAGAGCAACATGCGGGCAGCGTGTGACGTTTTTATGGGCCGTTTGAAGGCCATAAAAATTTGATGCTATTTCCGACATTTTTCATTCATTCAAAAAAATCAAAAAAAAAAAAAAAATGTAAAAACTGTGGTTTTTGACTTTGTTGCAGTTTTTTATCTCACCCTGTATATATGGGAGCTATAGCTATATCAGAACCGATTTTCACCAAATTTGAAGTACTAGCTTTCAGGCTGAAATCAGTCATATGTGCCCAAATCTACTTCATTTGGTCTTATATCTATCATTTAATGCAGAATACACCTGAAATCGGATAAAGATATGTATGGGGGGCTATATCCAATTCTGAACCGAACTTCATCAACATTTGGCAGAGGTCTTTCTGAGCTGCATTTGATATCTTTTCACAAATAACATTATTATGGAGTTCATATTACGACTGTGGGGGATTAAAAAAAAAACAAATCGGATGAACATTACATACATGGGGCTATAGCTAAATCTGAAACGAAACTGAAATTTTCTCCAAATTAGACATACTTGCTTCCAATCTCAATATGATTGCATGTGCCAAATTCCATCATATTCGGACGAATATTACACATATGGCTTATAATAAAATTGGAATCGGTCTGAGATATATATGGGGGCTATATCCAAATTTGGACCGATTATTCCCGAAAGGGTTCGTCCTTGGGTTAATCAAATGATTTGTGGAAAATCTCATCGAAATCGGATTAAAATGTGACTTGTAATTTGGTCACAAAATTCATGGAGAGACAGACGTACGGACGGACGAACTGACAGATGGATATACATAAATCGACTCAGATTTGTGATTTTATGCAGATCATCAAAAGGAACTATGGGTATATCTCGCTTTCTTCATCAAAGCTAGAATCCATTACCTACTATAAATACGAAATTTTAGAAAAATGACGTCATAAAAAGTGGCTTAAATCGCCAAAATACCGAATAGCCGTTGGTACCGGTACCATTTGTCAGAGGCAAAGTCCGTACAAATTTGGAACAATTCCGTCGAAAAATGGGTCTAAAATGATCAAAATAACGAATGTCGGGAGGTACTCTTATATTGGCGCTACAGGGATATATAGATTAGCCCTGCTATTAGTCACCAGTTTTTTCTCAAATCAATCTTTCTTTGTTATTTTTTCAGTGTCTCTGTCTCTGCTCTCTTTACTCTCCAAGAAAAAAAATGAGAAAATATTAGTTTTGTCCAAATAATATGCATGACATTCAAGGGGTTTACGAAAAAAAAAAAAAACATCGCGATAAGATAACGGTATAAACAATCACAGGCACACACACTCGTATCGAAATATCTTCAGCATTGGAAAGAGTATCAATCGAATTCTAACGAACAAATGTTGGCTGCCCCGTCAACCCATTAGTGTTACTGCAGCTGTCCAACGAAATGGACGAATCTGATTTTTCAGTTTTCAAAAAATCAAGCAAAAAGAAACATGACAAAGCCGATGCAACAACCTGCAACAACACGACCGCCGCACACACTGCGGATGATCTAATACCGGAGTTTGAGAAAAATGTCATTGTCTCAATACCCACCGATGAAGATGAATATCGCGTGGATAATCCCCATATCGGAATTGCCTTGATTTTCAATCACAAAGAAGTCAAGGGTGAAAAGCAGCGAGCCGGCACCGAAAAAGATCGTGATGATATGCAGGCGACCCTCTTGAAATTCGGATTTGATGTTCGAGTCTATAATGATTTGACCTTTGCGGAAGTTACTGAAACCTTAAAAGCAAGTAAGTTACGCTGATGATTAACAATTTTAATTTAAAATTAATTTTATTAAAAAAAAAAACACCGTGTTATTTTTATGTGTGTGTGTGTGAAGAAATTATCGATTTATAGAAGTATTCTGGCCTAACGTCCCTCCACCTGAATTTGAAAGACATATTAGTTCTTATCGCAGTGCTTTGCTCGTCGGTCGTTCGGTACACTCATAATTATGTTGTTTGAAAACAAAGCCATTTATTTCAGGGTACTCGGGGGGTTGAGTTTCTTATCTACCGATATCAATATGTATATTTTTTGGGCTAATAGCAAAGTGTGGCATGGAAATAGTATCTTGCAATTGTCACCTAATTTTCATTTTCTTGGAATACAATTACGAATGTTTGAAGTGATTTTTTGTTTTCGAATTTAAAATAATAAAGGAGAAACTTTCCGATAAATCATGTTTTCAGTTTACCTGATGAAATTACCAATTCCATTGACATATAATTATATCAAATATATACTCTTAAAAGAGGTTAACCCGGCAAAAAGTTTTGATGTAAAAAGATATATGCATTAGTAGTGGTAAGAGACAGTCTCGTTTTGCCAAATCAATAGTAAAATAACATTGAGAGAGAGGGAGAGAGTGAGAGAGAATGCATTGATACTTTTCCGTTAGGTGCATTTGACAACAGCTCATTGTGAAATTATGTATTCCTTAAGGTGCCATCAGACGGCACATGTTTTACCTAAGTAGTCATGGCAAAATCATTACAAGGTAGGTCAGAATGATTAAATTTGAAAAAAAAACGAAGTTAAAAATTATCAGTCGGTTTTGCCAACAGATGTATACCCCCAGCCAATGTTCGATTATTTAAATATATTTTGACTTGTGTTATGATTTATCAAATTGTTGACCCTCTATGGAGTAGGTACCGAAGGAATGGGCGAATATTTTCCATTTCGTATCGAACCTAAATAAATATGATATACAGGGTGAGATGAAAAAACTGCAACCAACTTCAGACTGCTGCCATTTCTAAGTCACCAGTCCGACAGTTGTTAAAATTATTCCAGTGACAGCTCATTATATTGTTTACAAGCGTACAAAAGTATTTTGTTGAGAATTTTCTGGAAAAAAAATTTTCGTGATGTAATTCAAGTTTGATTTCTTTATATTTGACTGGAAAACCACAAGTGGCTATCGTTAGGGCCCTCCAGCATTTTAATGTGAATAAATCTTTTGTGTATTGTACTATCGCTGGTTACCGTGATACTGGTAGCGTAGCCCGACGTCGAGAAAGTGGGCGGAAGAAAACAGCAACATCAGCAGAAATGGTTCGAAAAGAAGCGACTTGATCGAAACCCGCGTCGCAGTGGCCGAAAAATGGCTCATGAGCTGAACATATCGCAATATTCCATTCGGCAAATATTGTAAAATGAGCTCGGGGTAAAGCCATTGAAATTCCAAAAAATGCAAGAACTTACACCGCAACAGAAAGAAAATAGACTCAAAAGAGCTAAAGAGTTGCTTCGTATGGCCGAAAGTGGTGAACTGTCGAATTTGCTTTTCTCCGATGAGAAAACATTCGTTGTCCAGCAGTTTGTAAACAAACAAAATGACGGGTTTACTTGCCAAAGAGGTCAGCTGAAAATGCGCACCCTCGGTTGGCCACCAGAACTCAAGTGCCGGCCATGGTAATGGTGTGGGCCGTCATAACAGCTGATGGTCGCTCTCCGCTCGTATTAATCGACCGTGGCATCAGAATAAATGCCGAATATTATCGCGAAAATATTCTGGAGGGTATATTAAAGCCCTGGGCACGCGGCAGACCATAACATTATCACCCACACCATGTTAAACCCTTGGCACCTACTTCAACTCTGTATTTTTTGGTAATCGATATGTAGGACCTAGTCATCACAACCACAAAATTACATTCATCCAGAGCTCCATTGGCTTATTTGCATACATTTTGTCGAACTCTTATCGCGCATTTCGATTCTTTGTCTTGGTGTTTTTTCAAAATATTTCATATTCAGTAAAATATTTTTTTTTTTAAATCTCGACCTTTTTTGTGGGGAGGTACTAGAAGGAGTGGACTGATATTGCTCATCTCCGATCTCGATTTATGTTTTATAACAATATTACAGAGTACCAAGTTTAACCAAATCGGATACTCCTTTCGAGAGTGCGCACCAGCCAGTCAGAAAGACGGACGGACATCGCTAGATCGAATTCAAATGTCCTGAAATGGATTTGAGAAAACATTCGTTGTCCAGCAGTTTGTAAAGAAACAAAATTATCGGGTTTACTTGCCAAAGAGGTCAGCTGAAAATGTAATGGCCACCAAAATTTCCGGATATCAATCCGTTGGACTATTGTGTCTGGAGTATTTTTGAAAGCAAGTTTGGCACTAAAAAATAACACTTTAACGATCACCTCAAGCAAGCGCTTCGCCGGGCTAAAATACCGCAGAGCAACATTCGGCCAGCATGTGACGGCCTCATTGGTCGTTTGAAGGCCATAATTCGTGCCAAAGGTGAACAATTCGAACAAATCTCAACTAATTCGAAAATTTGATGCCATTTCCGACATTTTTTGCTTTCATTCAATAAAATTTAAAAAAAATGTAAAAATTATGGCTTTTGACTTTGTTGCGCTTTTTTATCTCACCCTGTATATTAAAAAAATTGGGGGAAGCCATCAGGTTACCAAATATAGGTTGGCGCTGTTATACGGGACCTATACCAAAATGTAAAAAAATTAAGTTCACGGATACGTCTATCTTAATGTCTAGGTTCATTTGGAGGGTATGAACAGTATATGCCGGAAGCATACTTTAAAAAGGCGAAAAAAGAGCACAACCTTTGGGTTCAATTGTTGATTCGATTCTCTATCCTGCTCGAAGGACCAATTGTACAAAGGAACACAACCTTATGCTTCGATTGTTGACTCGATTCTGATTTTTATTTGAAAATATTATCCTTAAGTACTGCTAAAACTAATCTAACTTAACCTAATCGCAGCCACACAATTGTTCTTATTTATTATTAGATTTAAAGGTCTTGACAGGCGCATTGATATCTGTGAGTAGGGGTTATGACCTACATAATGCGTATTCATAGGATTGTTAATGTTATTTTCTATCCAGATTGCCATCTTCCGCTAGATATCGAAAAACAGCTATTTTTTCTGATATTTTCAGGGAGTGTTTGCTTTAAAATTGTCCGCCATATTACTCTATAGGCTAAGTTGGTTTTAATTCATGTTTCTTTTTTAATATTTCTTACAGCATCCAAAGAAGATCACAGTCAAAATGATTGTCTGGTGGTTGTGGTAATGTCGCACGGTCTGGAGGGCAAAGTATATGCTCGTGATATGGCATATCCGGTGGAACGTTTGTGGAATCCATTTTTGGGTCAAAATTGTAAATCATTGATTGATAAACCCAAGCTGTTCTTTATTCAGGTAAGACAAACATCAAATCCCCTAACTTCCCTCGAAAATAAATCCAACTGCATTTTTTTTATCACCTAGGCCTGTCGAGGAGAGAATTTGGAAAAGCCTGTTACCTATACACGATTTGCTCCCATGTCACGGGCTCTAGATGCCACACCAGCCAAACCCCAACCGGTAACCTATGCCATACCAAATACAGCGGATATTTTGGTTATGTATTCAACGTTTGAAAGTAAATAGAGAATTTGCATTTCATCCAAAATCCATGCTAATTCCATACTGCTGTTATTTTTCAGAATACTATTCCTTCCGCAATGTGGAGAACGGTTCATGGTTCATACAGACTTTCTGTGAGGTTTTTAATCACGCTGCCGCAACTACTGCTCTCTCTGAAAAAGGCGCTGAATTGCTACGTCTTTTAACCGCTATCAATCGATTGGTGGCCTACGATTATCAGTCAAATGCCAAGGTGGAAGCCCTGAATCAAATGAAGGAAATGCCAAATTTTATGTCAACTCTGACGAAAATTTTCTATTTGCATGTCAAGAAACCAAAAGAATGATACAAAACAGGGGACGAGGGGTATTAACTGTCCAACGGAATGAGTCATTTAGAGCAAAATTAAATTAAAATTGTGATTAGAACAAAAAACTAATGAAAAAGAAAAAAACGTACAATTGAAGTCCAAACACTTTGTATTTAGTGATATGACAATATAAGTTGACCGCGAGCATAGGGGTCTTATGAATAAAAATATAATTCCGACATACGTTTTGGTTTATCTGTTTCAATGTTGAGTTACTGGACCAATATTAATCAACTTAATATTTTACAATAAAATGGTGTTGTGGAAGCTAACCCATTATTGGTAATTCCTAAACTTTAGCCTGCTATCTAGCCTTTAATATTAGGTGTGTACAACAGTAACCGAAGAAGTAGGTATGGAGGCAATCTTACTGGTCTTCCACAACTTACTGATAATTTATTTCATATGCAGTTAAACATATGCCGTCTGATAGCACCTTTAACATGTAATCGATAGAAGGGAATTGTGAACTTCCTTAATATCGATTACATGTTAAAGGTGCCATCAGACGGCATATGTTTAGCCGGGCGTTTGCATATAAAATAAAGGATTCATCGTTAACTTCATCTAATGCAGATAAAAACAATTATATCCAATTTTATGCGAAATCATAAATTCCATTTTCATTTCAGGTTTCTGTTTGAGAGAAATATTTAGACATAGCAAGTTGTAAAGAAACGGTAACTTGTTTCGCAAGTTATGACAGGTAAAAGTATTGAAAATTGTGACTCTTTGTGGGTGAGGTACCAGAAAGAGATTGCGGCCATATATCATCTTCGCTTCACAAGGAGTGGACCGATATATTCCATCTCAACCTTTCGGCGCTAGGTGTAAATTGCCCTTTAGAAAGTCAATATATTTCAAATGATCCATTATTCTATCAATGGATGATAAATTACTTACTCCTAATACCGCCATATATCCCCAGACCATAACATCATCACATCCACCATGTTAAACCCTTGGCACCATATTCTCTACTTTAACTCTGTATTTTTTGGTTGTCGATATCTAGGACCTTGCCATCACAACCACAAAATTACATTCATCCCGAACTCTACTGGCTTATTTGCATACATTTTGGCGAACTCTTATCGCGTATTTCAATTCTTCTTTGAGACGTGCGGCTTTTTTCTAGCTGATCGTGCATGAAATTGGTATATTTCAAAATATTTTGTGTTATCTGAGGAGTAACTGCAATGTCTGCATATTTCTGGGTAATTTTAGCTAAGGTTGATGCATTAACTCGTGAATTTTTCTTAACCTCACGAACAATTTGGCCCCCGGGTGCATCTTTAAGTTTTTGTGTACGCCCACTCCAGGGCTAATAAAAAATATTGTTATGTGTATAATTTGAAGACAATCGGACTCTTACATTACATTTTATAAGAGTTAAAAATATTCAAAATATTGACCCTTTGCGGGAGAGTTACTTGATGGAGTGAACCGATTTTGTCCATTTCCGCACCTGGTTAGCACTGATGCAAATTTTAGAATTTGCAAAGTTGGAGCAAAATCGGAGTAACCTTTCTCATTCTGTGCAGTAAAATATTTTTTTGTTTTTGAAAATTTCGACCTTTTTTGTGGGGAGGTACTAGAAGAAGTGGACTGATATTGCCCATCTCCGATCTCGATCTAGGTTTTATAACAATATTACGATGTACCAAGTTTTAACCAAATCGGCAGACAGAAAGACGGACGGCCATCGCTAAATCGACTTCAAATGTCCCAAGGGTCTAAAACCTTTATTCCGATGAGGCATGTTTTGGCCTCATCAAATGGTATAGACCCCCTCTAGCCAAAAGGCTGAGGGTATAAAAACTAATATTCGGGACGAAATTAACAACACAACACCGGAAGATCTGCGAAAGGTCATGGAAAATTAGTTGACAAATGAACGCTTGTGGGATATCATTTTTAATGACTAATCTAAAAATATTACCTATAAATTTACTGTATTTAAAAAATAAAAAAATATATGTCTTAAATAGAAAATTACAAGGAATTCACACCACTTCGTTTTTCTTTTGGTCCACTCTTTATGAAATCAAAAGCTCTATATGACCACCAAGATTCAATCCAGTTCACCTGCTTTGTGGTAAAAATAAATTTATTTCAAAATTTGTTTTCTTTTTTATACTAAAAATTTAAAAAAAATCTTAAACGTTTTACTATTCATTGGACAGTTCAGGTGATCACAGCAAAATATTTAAATCATTCAAATAGCTCAATTCAATTGTAGTTGTTTTCGTTTTGCTAAGTTATTTTACAATTAAAGCAAATAGCGGTAGCTGCAATTGGAGCAGTCGACTAGACGTGTTTTGTTTTTTTTCAGCAAAAATCTAATTCAGCGATCCATAAAATTTGTTTGCCCTCCCCAGAAAGTAAGTGAAACAATGAAACCGACACCATCAGTCAGTCACTCAGTCGCTCACTCACCGACTTAGACCGAGATTTATATATTCATGTATGTACCTCGGATGAAATGAGATGATGAGATGGAGAAATGAATGAATGGCTTGGATGGATATGCATGAGATGTTGTGTGTTCTGTATTCAATTTCCCATTCAGATCATTTGGAGTGCGAGCAAACTAAGAACACTAGATGAATATGCATTATGTTAGATGTGAGGAACTAGCTGGTGAAAGAAGAATGTAAAAGAACTTTCACATTTCATAGAGACACTTCTTAACCCCTTGGTGGCGTTAGGAAATTGCAAGATTTATTTTTGCAGGAAGCTGTTACATTTGGTTGCTTTTATAGACTACTTCTAAAGGATATATACAGTGGTCAAAAAAGTATTCGACATATAGATAACATTTTACTATTTTTTCAATAAAAAAAAATTGATTTTGTTTAGTGTTAAAATTGGCATAAAAACAAAAAAGCTATTTTAGTACAAAAAAGTATTCGACATTTGAAAAATTATTTTAAAATTAAACTGTTATTGTTATTCTAGTAACGAGTTGCTTTATTTTTACTTCGTATAACTTCTTTCAAACGTTCAGGCATAGACTCTACCAATGACATTGTGTATCCTGGATCAATCTTTTTCCATTCTTTCTGAGGGATATCTTTCATTTGATTCTTATTTGTAAACTCGTGAGAACTATTTTTTTCTCGAGGTAACTCCAAAAATGTTCAATTGGTTTAAGATCTGGAGATTGTGGTAGTGTTTTTATCACATAAGGGCAGTTGTACGAAAGCCAAAGTTTTGTATTCATTGCAGAATGTTTAGGATCTGCGCTAGGGCTTAAATGTTTCGATCAGAAGGTCAATATATTTCAAGTGATCCATAATTCTATCAATGGATGATAAATTACCCACTGCTGATGACGCCATACATCCCCAGACCATAACACTACCACCACCAAAGCTTTGTATTCATTGCAGAATCTTTGGGTTCATTATCTTGATAATATTAAAATTTTCCCGCAAGTCCCATCTTTACTGCGTAAATTTTCCTTCAGAAGTTCAATATATTTCAAGTGATCCATAATTCTATCAATGGATGATAAATTACCCACTCCTGATGCCGCCATACCCGCCCAGACCATAACACCACCGTGTTTAACCGTTGGCGCCATATTTCTCTTGTCTAACTCTATATTTGGTTTTCGATATACTAGGATCTTGCCATCACACCCAAAAGGATTATATTTGCTCTCGTCAGCAAAAATTACATTCATCCAGAACTCTACTGGCTTATTTGCATAAATTTTGACGAACTTTATTCGCGTATTTCGATTATTCTTTGAGATGAGTGGTTTTTCCTAGCTGATCGTCCATGAAATTGATGTTTTTCAAAATATTGCTTATTGTCTGGGGAGGAACTGAAATGCGTGCATATTCCTGGGTAGTTTTAGCTAAGGTTGATGCATTAATTCGTGGATTTTTTCGTAATTTCACGTACAATTTGGCGCTCATGAGCATCTGTAAGTTTCCGTGGACGTCCACTCCTGGGCTTTGTTTTATCAGCTCTGTATTTTCTACCCACAGAGAGGGTATATATTTGATATGGCCAAAACGTGTCTCATCGAAATAACGGTTTTAGACCCCAGGTCTCTTAGGACCAAATCCGTTTCAGGATATTTGGAGTCGATCTAGCGATGTCTATCTGTCTAGCTGACTGGTGCGCACGATAATTCCGGAGGGCAGTATCCGATTTGGTCAAAATTTGGTGCATCGTAATATTATTGTCAAACTTAAATCGAGTCCGGAGATGGGCAATATCGGTACACTCCTTCTGGCACATCCACACATTGCCAACATTTTCTAACAAAATAATTTACTGGACAGAAAAAGAAGGGATAATCCAATTTTACTCCAACTTTGTAAATCCTAATAATGGATAATTTAGGTCCACTATCCAGTGCCTTCCCCACAAAGGGTCACACAAAGGGTCACAGTGGTGTTTTAAGTGTCCGATTGTCTTAAAATTACACACATCACAATATTTTTTTATCCACGGTCTGGTGTGAAGATGGTTCCCTCCTTTTGGTACTTACCTCACAAAATTTTGAATATTCATGAAGCTCATAATACACGAAATTAGCATCCGATTCCATTTAGACTTGGTACATCTTAATATTTCCACCAACACAAGATTTGTTATAAAGATGGTAGAGATCGGAACATTTGTTCTGGTACCTCCCACACCAAGGATCAAAGTTTTGAATAAGCAAAATGTTTATAAAATCCGAAATAAGCCTACGGTTCTCTTCATATTTCACATATCCCATTATTTCTACTAACACAAGATATGCTGTGAAGATGGGATATATCGGTCCACTCCATGTGGTAACTCCCCCACATAGGGTCAAAATTTCCATGAAACTCATAAAACGGGAAATTAACATCCGATTCCATTCAGAATTGGTACATCTCAATATTTCCATTGACACAAAATCTGTTATAAAGTTGGTAGAGATCGGACCATTTCTTCTGGTACTTCCCCCACATAGGGTTTAAGATTTTGAAAAACAAAACGCTCAAAAAAAGCGAAATAAGCATCCAACTCTCTTCAAATTTCACACATGCAAACATTTTTGCGAAAACAAGATCTGTGATATGATCTTCGCCTTAACAAGGCAAAACTCAAAAATTCAGCCGAGCCTGGCTGTGGGATTTGAACCGCAGACCTCTGTGTGCAGCCAACTAGAAGTTGCCGTCTCTACGTTC